GCAGTCCAGGCCTTGCTGGTGGCAGCCAGGGAGCCAGTGGCTGAGGTCCCAACTCATGTCCGGAGGGCACTTGCTTTGGGGATGGCGGAAGGCATGCGGGAAGCCACAGCGGGCCATGTGCGGGAGGTGCTACGGCGCCATGGGACTGCAGGCCTCCTGGCCGCCGACCGTCTCTCCCTGCTGCTCTATGTGACCAGCGACGGGTGCCATGATGAACTGCGGGGTCTCCCCCTCTTGCCTCGTGCTGATGGGACCTTTGTGGCCTTTGGGACTGCGTCAGCCATTGTCTATGTGGACACATCCGACTGCCCCAGGTGAGTCCACGGCCCCAGGTAGCCCCATTCCCTGTGGCAGTGGGCAGGTGAGCCGGTTGCCCAGGGTGCAGCTCCCACTCTTGAGCTGAAAGGGGGGCCAGGGTTGAACCTGGACATTTGGGTGCCTCACCGCCCTCCTCCTCTCCCCCGGTCTCACCAAGTGGGAGCTGAGCCAGGTGTCTAGGAAGCTGCCTACCTCCCATTACCCCTCTAGTTCCTCAGCACCTCCGTTTGTCCCCACAGGGAGCTCCTGCCCGGCTTGGCCGGGTCCTTCCTGCCCTCAGACCTGGAGCCAGGCTTGGACAGCCTCCTGCGAGGCATTGCCAAGGCGGGTAAGAGACAGGGGGTCCAGGGCAACCTTTGGGTCCCCTGATCCCCCTCTAAACCCCAACACCTCTAGGCACCCTAGTACACCCATGGGCTCCTCTGTAGCCCCAATGTCCCTCTGTCCCACACTTATATTCCCTGTACACATCCGGGGTCCCTGATCCCTTGCTGAGGCCCCTTTCTGGGCTTCCCCCATCCATTCAACAGCACTGTAGATCCCAAGATTCACTGTCTCTCTCCAGTTTGTGGTGCTTTATCCGGGCCCAGGGCCACCTCTCCTATCCTGCATTTCCCTGTATTTCTGGAGACTCCCCTGTCCTTGCTGATCTTCCCACATTCCTCCATCCCTGCTGTGCTCCCTCAGATCCTGGATCTCCCTGTCGACCTCTGTGCCCCCCAGTACTGCTCCCCCTAACACCTTTTTCCCTCTCAGATCTCCTCTATCCCCACAAATCTGGGGTTCCCCTGTTCCTCCTATTCAGCGTATCTACTGTCCCTCCAGAGCCAGGGTCCTCCCATCCCCAGTATGGGGGGCTCCCCATCCCCTGCAGATCTCAGGTTCTTCCCCCGACATCCTGGGTCCCATTGCCAGGTCCCATGTAGTCCTCATCCAGCCTCTGCCTCCCTCACACAGGTCTCTTCCCCAACCTGGTTCTGCTGGATCCAGCCATGACTGTCCAGACCCTACGCTTGGCTCTGCCCCCCACCTGGACATCTCAGTCTTCAACCCCAGTGACCTGGTGCCCATCCCAAGGTCCCCCTCAGCCCCCAGCCTCCTGGTTCCCAGCCCTGTGGCAATTTCTGGCCCACCACGTGGAAGACCTAGGCCCTCTGGAGGGGCTCCCTCTCATCCCGCTGTCCCCACTGGATGGCCCCAGCATCCATCTGGCTCTGCTCATACCCCAGTCTGGTCTTATCTTCCAGGCATGGGAAGACCAGTGCCTGCCACCTGCTGTGGCTTCTGTCCTGGAGGTCCTGGGTTGCTCAGTGGTGCCGCCAGGCACATGGCACCGCTCCCTGTCCCGCTATGTCTTTCCTCCATCCCCCCTCAATGCCCTGCGGGCCCTGGGCAGGCAGGGGGCTGCAGCTGTGGCCTCCCGCCTGGCCTCGCTGCCTGCTGCAGATGTGGTCACCCTCCGGCTCTACCTGGCAGATGTCCCATCCCTGACAGAGCAGGACAGGGCCACACTGGCTGCTCTGCCCCTCTTCAGCCCACTGCCCTGCTTGGCCAACCCGCAGCCCACGGAGCTGGTACCAGCTGGTGCCACTCCAGTGCTGGAGCCAGAGCTGGAGCTGCCCAGAGATGTGGTGCTGCCAAAGACCATGTTGCAGTGCCGGGATGAAGTTGATCGGCAGCTCCTGGGGAGGCTCCAGAGCTCCTTTATCAGTGCAGCCCACATGGCACTGGAAGCCGTCAAAGCTGTGGCCCGGGGCGCCTATGCAGGACGGGCGACTGAGACACAGGCTTTGCTGCTCTGGGTGCTGCAGCATGGAGACATCCTCTTCGCACAGAGCTCCCTGCTCCAGCAAGCCTGCAGCAGTCTGCCCTTCCTGGAGACTCCCAATGGCCCCATGTGCCCGCGAGACCTCTACGACCCCTGTGAGAGCACCTTGCAGGCTCTGCTGGGCCCTGAGCGCTTTCCTCCTGCCGCCTTCCACAGTCCCCCTGTCCTCTGTGCCTTGAGAGTCCTGGGCTTGCGGCACGGTGAGGGGTGCCTGGTGCCTTCAGACATCCTAGAGGCTGCAGCAAGTGTGAGTCAGGATAACGCAGTAAGTCTGGACAGGGCTCAGGCACTGATCAAGGTCTGCAACTGCCCCAAGGCACTGGCTGGTTTCAGCGCTGCAAAGCTTGGGCAGCTCCAGGCCCTGCCATGGGTTCCTCGTTCCAAGTGCACTGGAAACCCTGGGCAGCTCTTCCTGCCCCCCAAGGATCTGCGATCCACCCAGTACCAGCCCCTGGTGGGGCTTGTCATGCACCTGACTGATGCCTTTGTGCCAGAGGCAGAGAAGATGCTGGGGCTGAGCCAGACTCCACCACCAGAGAAAGTGTGGGAGCAGCTGAGACAGCTGGCAGGGTGCAGGGACATGGGTGAGGTAGGTTCTGCACTCCAGCCTGTCTACCGGCACATGCAGGAAAACTTGAAGACCTTTGGGGTTGCCCCGGATGATGCTGTAGTGTGGACGGGGACTGGGTTTGTCCTGCCATGTGATGCTGTGCTGGGCTATCCTGAGGAGCTAGAGCTGGAGCTGGGGATGTTGGTGCCCCGGGTGCCCCCTGACTTCCTGCCCTACAGTTGCCTCTTCAGGGCTTGGGGGGTGGAGATGAGGGTGAGTGAGGAGAGGGTGGTTGCAGCCCTGCGCTGCCTGGGGCAGGACATAGACACACGCAGCTCCAGAGCTGGCACTGCAGCAGAGTTGCAGGTGGCTGTAGCTGTCCTGGAGTGGCTTAAGAGCCGGGGGCATCAAGGCGAGGGCATGGTGCCGGTTCCTGTGAGGATCCTGGAGGGCTCGGGCTTTGCTCTCCGCCCGGCTGCCTCTACTGTGTACCTGGACATGGAGCTGGAGGCAGAGGAGGATGTTCAGGAGGTGGTGCATGAGGCGGTGCCATCCAGCACAGCCATATTCCTCGGCACGGAGCTGCTCAGTACACGGGTGCTGGGGCCGGAGCCGTTCACGGCCTGCAGCCTCTCAGAGCCCATCACCTTACGGCTTCGCAACATCCTCCGGGAGTACGGCGAGGAGAGCGACCTCTTCACAGAGATTGTCCAGAATGCAGAGGATGCTGGAGCTACTGTGTGCCGCTTCCTGCTGGACCTTCGACGCTGCAGAAAGGCCACCTCTGGGTTGCTAGACCCTGGCATGGCTGCCTGCCATGGCCCAGCCCTCTGGGCCTACAACAATGCCCTGTTCACAGAGGATGACCTCCGTAATATCACACGGGTTGGGGCTGCTACAAAGGAGGGCCAGGCAGGCAAGATTGGCCGCTTTGGGCTGGGTTTCAGCTCTGTCTACCGTGTTACAGACGTGCCGGCAGTGCTGAGTGGGGAGACACTGCTCATCTTTGATCCCAATGGAACGCATCTGGGCAAGCACATCCCCAGGGCTGGCTGCCCTGGCATCCGCCTGGACTTCTCCAACCGACCACGCATCCTCCGTGCCTTTGCTGAGCAGTTCCGGCCCTACCATGGTATCTTTGGGTGCCGCCTGCCTGAGCCAGGGCCCTTTCCAGGGAGCCTTTTCCATCTGCCTTTTCGCACTGAAGAGGAAGCTGTGACATCACAGATTTGCTCAGAGGCCTTTGGGATGGAGCGCATCCAGTCCCTTGGCACCAGCTTCCTTGGCTCTAACCGGCTCCTGCTGCTCTTCCTGAAGAAGGTGAGGGAGATGTCCCTGGAGGTGCTGCCAGACATGGCCACCTCTGCGGAGGATACTACACATTTGGCCACAGTCCAGCGAAAGGAGATCCAAGACTTGGGGGCCCCTGAGGACCTCCCAGGCTGGGCAGCCATTGTGCAGCTCACAGCCTGTGAGGAGGCGTCCAAGACCACATGGCACTACCTAGTTTGGGTACGTCAAGATGATGGGGAGTTGCTGGAACTGTTTCACCGGAACACACAGGCAGGGCTCCATCCTCTGCCTCCCATGGCTGGTGTGGCCCTTCCCCTTGCCCTTACTGCAGATGGCAAGTGGTTGCCACATCTGGGTGCAGAGGAGGGGCAAGTCTTCTGCCACCTTCCCATGCCAATTGCCTCAGGGCTGCCAATCCACGTGCATGGGGCATTCAGCATCCTCTCAAACCGCAAGGGGCTGTGGAACATGGCAGAGCGGGGTGAGTGGAACCGGGTGCTGCTCCGCAATGCCATGCCAGTTGCCTGGCTCCAGGCACTGGACCACCTCCGCACCATGCACGAGGCAGGTGAGTTGAAGAACTATGAATATCATGTCTTCTGGCCGGACGCTAGCACTGCCCGTTACCCCTTTACGGAGGCTGTGACTGG